CTTCTTTGACCAATCGATTGTATCGCATGTTACAAAATAATGGAAATTATTTAAGATAATAAAAATATCTACGTTTTGTAGAGAATTTGACAAGGAATCTTTCTATAAAAAAAATTTTTTTCTTAGCTGAATTATAGGTGAGAAATATGCAAAATACTGAGAGGGTCATTCATTATGGACCACCCGTTAAAAAAAGTACGATTAAATTTTAGTCAATCCCGTAGTCAAAGACGTACAGGTGGAACCTTTCAAATTCATAGTGGAGCACCATTTGATAATACAACAATTGTTATTGGTGGTGGATCTTCAATAAATGATGGAAATAATTCAAATGAAAATGGAGATTTAGGCAATTTTCTTCAAACTATTTTTACACAACTTGCCGGTGGACTCACTGGTGGTGGTGGTGCACAGTTTCCTTTGTAATTATTTTAATGTTATTTACTCAAAATGAATAAATTAATTATTTGTTTAGTATTATGCACAATGGTGGTGGTGCAGCTTTTGTTGATTCAACAAATCTTGATGCTCTTCTTACTCAAGTAATGTTTAGTTTTACATCGAATATTATTTTCTAATTTGATAATTATTCTAGTTTTTAAATCAAATGGGAGAATGCTATTCCCACATTAAAATTGACTGTTGAACAATCAAGTATGTTTATTTATTGAATTTTATATCAGATATGAACGAGTCATTTTGGAAAAGTTTATGTAATTGTTCTCATCTAAAGAACATAGATCAAATCGTAATAGAATTATGGTCAGGTTATAAAGTAGTTTCTGCAATCAGAACTATTCTGTATTTCAAACTTCCATATTATCTGAAAATCGAGTCATTGCTTTCACAAAGAACGACACGGTACAATTCAACATAAGAAAAAACTGAAATTGAATATGCTAATTTGTTATCTGAACATAATTTTATACAAATTCGAATCATATGATTTAATTGAGAAGACTTACAAAATATTTTTCAAATGTCTTGATCATTTCTATTTAATATTAAAATAAAATAAGTATAAATAATTATATTTGTCTGGATAATTTTAAAGAAAATGATGAAGCTAAACATTTTCCTTATACACATAATTTTTGTGAAGAATGTATATCACAATAGCTTAGAATGGTATTTAAAAAATTTTTTTTTCTAATAAAACTGTGAAATCTGTTATTGTTTTTAGCATGGAACATGTCGTGTAACATTAGATGGTGATAATACAACAAATCATGAATATGTTAATCTTCAACCAAATCAACAACAAACAACATCATCAATCATCGTGATCAAATAATAATCATCGAAATAATGAAGATAATAATGGATCAACTTATTCTTCTTCTGCTGCTATGGGAGGATTTAATCAACTTGAATTCGATTAAAAAGAAATATTTGTGTGATTATTTATGTAAAAATCATTTTTGTCTTTCTGATGATCTTTACATTTTTTTTAATTTGCTTTTCTTTTTGTCATCGTCTTAATTTTCTCTTCTGTTGGAAATAAATGAACATATTTTATACATCTACGATCGATTAGGATTTTATTTTTTTCACTTTGAACTTCATGGAGAGGTTTTTATTAAAATGAGATTTGTATTTCGTATGACACATAAATCTATGTTCAGATATATCTTTTTTAACATATCAATTGTTGAATCAACATAAGTAGTTTTTGTTTAATAAAAAAAAAAAAAAAACAAAAAAAACATTTTTGAAAACGTCTATTTCATGAAATAATGTTACTTGTAAGTATAAATAATTAGGAGAGAATATTAGAAATATATTTTCAGTAGTATTTGATTTTTGAAATTTTAATTTCATAAAAACTTAATAACTTATTAAAATATTTCAAGTAAAATAAAAATTCAATTCTATCTGATTTCATAATTCAAGAAAATAAGAGTCAATATATCTTGAAAGACTTTCCATTGATTACAAAGTAATGTGATCGAGATTTGAGCTATATAGTAATGAGAACATCTTTTTAGTAATCTCAAAGTTTGATATTAATAAATAATATATTCTAGAATGTGTAGTTAATTAAAAATCGAGTTACAATAAAATCATATCTAACTTCACTCAATAATTATATATTTAACAAAAATAAATCAGCTTTGATATAATCAGATGTCATATAAGCAAATTGGTTCCATCGTCATATTGAAAAGAAATTATATTTTAGAGTTAATTGAATACTTCTTTGAGAAAATATAAACGATTAAATGAATCAAAATAGATTAGCGAAATAATTTAAACTTCTAAAGAGTAGTATGAAATAATTAAAAAAATATGTGTTAAGTTATGCATTGAAACTGGTTCGGTTTTTGATAAAACTAAACAAACTGAATGTTGTTGTTAATGTTTCGATAAAATGCATTGCTGTTCAAATAAAAAGTGATCATATCAATTTTATATAAATATTTTATCATTAAGAATTCTTATGTTTGTTTTAAAGTGTTTGTTGAATTTTTAAAATGAAAGATAAAGAAAAATAAAATCTTGTCCTAATATGGGAATATAAAAGTTCCCGAAATATATTTATTGTTGATGATTTTCAATAAATATTTAATGGACAAGAAAACAAAGCAACAATAATATTAAATAGTTGCTTTATTCAAAAACTTTTCTTCTCTTTGCTTTTCTGTTCAGACGAGCACTTCTGGAAATTCAAAATGAACATCTTTTCCAGTGAGTTTTTTATAAACCGATTGAAAAGCTGAAACCTAAAATAAAAGAAAAATCGTTTTTTTTTTTTTTTTTTTTATTTTAATTAAAATATTCAATATATTAATCAAACCTTATTTTCGACAAGTGTTTGTTGATTTTTATCAAGATGAATTTTAAAAAGACGTGATCCATCTACTTTAATTCGAATACGTTTTCCTGTTATTTCAGCAGGATAAACAAGATCATGTAAAATAGCATCATGTACTGCAGTTAATGTACGACTAAATAAAATAATTTTTATGTTTTATTTTGAACAAATAAATTAAAAAACAAACAAACTTTCTCGGTCGTTTTTGTTTCGATTGTGTTTTAGATTTTCGTGTTGGTTTTGGTAAAATTCGACGCTAAAAAAAATAATTTTTAGTTTCATTATTTTTCTTCTAATAGAAAACTAAATTTACTTGTCCAAGAAGAACAACTGTTTGATTATATTTTTTTTCAAGTTCAGATACAAGTAATGAATGAACTCGTTGAAAATTTTTAACTTTCGGTACTGGAATATAAATTATTAAAGCTGATCGTCCATCACCTAATTCAACTTTCTAGATTAAACAATAAAACGATTATTATTTTCGATAATTAAATATTATTTTCAAACCTTTGCTCCAGTTATATAAAGTTCACGTAATTGACCTTTAAATTGGGCATTTCCTTCGAGTTCGGTGAATTGCTAAAATATTGAAAATTGAATTATTAAAAATGATTATAGAAAAAAATTTAACCTGTGAAACATCAAGTTCAAGTGCTGTTGGTGGTTCACTACCACTTTTCATGATTTTTGTACCTGTGCTCATCGTTCACGATCAATGAGTTTTAATTATCTAGAAAATATTTATTTCCAATATTTAGTTTAATTATTTCAAAGAAATTTATGATTGAATGCAAAAAAAAACAACTTCTGGATCCTCTATTGTCTTCCATATTTTACCATGATGGTTTCAATATTACTTCTATCTACTTACTTTTTTTTCATAGCAAAACTTTTTTGATAATGAAAAGTTTTGATTAACATAAAATTTTCTTTATTTAAAAAAAGAAAAAAAAATTCGAAATTTAAACATAGCTGCAAGATCAACCAATGAAAATTATTTAATCAATTATCCTATCAATAAAAGAGAAACAGCTGACTGATAGACTGACTCAATATCGATAAGAAGAACAAGATATTATTATCACTGTAAAAAGTTTTATTCCGTTTTGATTTTATTCAAATAAATTTCATAATATGATAAATAAATCTTAGAATTTTAAATTATTCGAATCAATCAATCATATCGAATATTCAACTGATTATATTATTGAAGTGAAATAATCATTAGAATTATTTTTAAATTATTACTGTAACAAATTGAAAAACTTCGAGCTAAAAAATGAACCATTATATAGAAATATTTTCCGTGTCAATTATAGACCTTAGCCACCAAGGGAAACAGGAAACAGACTTTTTTTCTAGAATTTTCTGGCAGCGAAAAAAGGCACTAAATCGCAATAACAACAAGACTTCAACTATTCTAGAGAATTCTAAGATATTCAAGAGTCTTCCTCGAAATTCAAATGGCTGCAATGTGTTCGCGAATGTTTGAAATAACGCATTTTTTTTAAATTTTTCTGCAGATATTCATTTATATTTTAGATTTCAAGACTGTTGAATAGAGAAATATTGATTTTCTATAGTAGTCATATGGTTAGCATAAACAAACGTGAACTGATCAAATTATCAGTTGAGAAAATAATCAATACAAGTGTTTATAAGCTGCTTAATGATATATGTAATAGTACGTTGATATATGCTATAAATATAGTTAATATGTATCATAGGTTTATTTACCAATTAAATTAATTGTTAGAAGAATAATTGTGTTAAATTAAAAATAATGAATCAATAGCAACAAGTCGCACAAAAAATAGAATAAAAATTTTGTAGAACAACAATAATCTGTAAGAAATATTTCATTTTACATTATTTGTATTTGTATAATAAGAGTGAACAACAGAAGTTAGTTCTACATTTCAATTCTAAAGAAACTGACATAAAAGAATTTTTTCTCTTCAATTGAATGTTAATTAAAGTTAAACAGATGAATTTCCTTTTTTATTTCTAATGAGAAAAAATATTCGTTTTGTAACTTACTCCGTTGTCAAATCAATCGTTATATAATCATGATAGACATTTGAAAGACGATAATCAGCAGGAAAAACTATATTTTACTTTGAACACGAAAAAATCTTCTATAAATTCAATTTTAGAAACATTTTATTGATGAAACCTGCTGAGAAGATAAAAAAAAAAAAAAATTAAATATAGACATTAAAATTTTTTATGTTGAAAATAAAGGAAATCTATATTAGCAATTATTTGTCTAATTTCTACTATGATTAAACTTAGTTCGATGAAATTAGTTATTTTCTTTTTTATATCAATTAAATCTAGAGATTAAATTATTTTTCATATATCATTTACATAAAAGATATTTTTTTTTTTCTTTTAAATAAATATTCTATTTGAGAGAAATAATATTAATGACAAAATATTTCTTCACATATTATATCAAAGATATGCATGATTATTAATTATCAAATAAATTTCATACGAATTTATTTCAATATAGAAAATTAATGTCTAATACTATTACAAATATTTTATCAAACAAATGTCACATCATTGCAATTCTATTTATGTTCTTAACATATTATATAATATATCTTTTAACTTCACAATAATATTTCGAATAAGATTAATCAATCATAATAGAGATTTATTCATTCTCGAACAAAGGTACACTTTAAAAAATAAAATAAAATCAATGATGTATCCATTATCTCATCGAACGATTTCATAGAAATATAAAGAAAAACAAACTATGACTTCATTTTAATGACGTCAATAAATCATTTCTCTTTTTTACGTAGATCAGGGGGGGGGGGGAGGGGTCAGATGTAGAAAAGAACTTTTAGTTCGAATATAAAACTATTTATTATTAATTCTATAGTAAAGAAAAGATTTTCGGCTCATCTTTCCTTTAATTACATTTTTACATCGATTAGATAATTTCCAGACACATCGAGAACACTTTACGAAAGCGTTTAAATAAAAGTGAATATGTTCCAGATTGTTGAATAAACATTTGACAAATGAATTAATTTCTTTTTCTGATAAATCTTGTAGATGTCGCTATATGATTCTGTTGATATTATTTCCTCTATAATGACAAAGGCAACAAAATGGCTTCAAACAAAGTCAGTCATATGATTGGCTGACGCATCGTCTCAACTCGTGATCATTATCGTCATTTTGATCTTTTTCTTTCCTTTCATTGACTTGTTTTTCTCTTTTAGTATCCATGTCAAAATGACGGTCGACCAGTGAGAAAATATACTTTTTTTTTTCCTTCCTTGTAAAATAGCCGCATCGATAAAGAGAAAAAAAAAAAACGAGAGAAAAAAAAAGCTTCTATAAAACGTAGGTGTCTCCTAATAGACGATTTTATCCATGACAGTGTTATAGGTCGACAAAAAAAAAACCCGTTTACCTTTATCCGTTTATTTTGTTTCAGAATACACAGGCCGTTTGTTTTAATACCGTCATGTTGGTATAATTTATCATCTCTTTCTTTTCTTTAATAAAAAGTATCAACGAGCAACTGCTTAAGACAGCAGACTCTATTAATTATTTTCGATATTTATCAATTATTACCATTAATTATTATGTCGACTTTTTTATTTCCAAAAAAATAAACATGTTATGAGTGTTTCAACTAAGAGTGAATGATATTTATCTTTAATAACAACTCTAGTCGACAAATAACAAAACTAGATATATATCAATTGGCCAGCAAGGACAGTGCTGACCAAAAACAACAACAGGTTTGTTATACATGAACAGATCATTTATGTGTTTTTGCTTTACTTTAGGTAATAATCAGTGGTTTTGAAGATATTTCTTTGTATAAATCTGTTAAAAATTACGATGGTCGTTGTCGTATTGGGTCTTCGAACAATTGGACAAACGTTAACTACATTAACAACATCATTAGAACGATTATGCTCTAAAGAAGATCGAACATGGAAAGAACGTAAATTCAATCAAACAAAATTAGTAAGGAACAAATATTTTTTCGTTCATGTTAATATATTAATAGGTATAGAAGAAGAAACACATGATTCTTGTCTTTTTTTTTTTTCATTTGATATAGTTGATTTGAGTAGTACTTTCTATTTATATAATATAACAGCACAGACTTCTGTTACTGATAAGTAATAGAGAACTGACATAACCATTTTGAAAAAGATATATATATATATAGATAAGAAATGTTTATGTAACCATAGGCAAAAGAGAAGAAAAGAAAATGTTATTCAAAAATTATTTCCTCTCAAAAGTAGGATAAACAATTAATAATCAAATTTGTTTTCCTGTAATTAATATTCATTTACTTTTTTTTTTTTTCGAAGATAAATATAGATAAATACAATTAACAGTAATTGATATTCTTTTCTTTTTCTCTTCATTAATTTTGATCCAACTGACATAATATTATAATAAAAACAAATAAATTGAATAATAATTTTCTTTTTTCAGGATGAAGTAAATTGTTCTCAACGTAATTATGCATCATCATGGCTTCGTAAAGTAGCAGCATCAATGCATTTTGGTACTGATACATATGCACTTAGTGTTGATTTACTTGATCGATTTTTAGCAACACTTAAAGTAAATTTATTATTTAATAAATTTTCATTTTGAAATAAAACGAAATTTGTTAAGGTTCGTCCAAAATTCTTAGAATGTTTAGCGGTTGGATGTTTATATATAGCAGCAAAATGCAAAGAAGAAGATGATACAATAGCAATAACACCTGAATTTGTTATCGATTGTAATGCAAGTTGTTCAGCTAATGAACTTCTTCGTATGGAACGTTTAATTTTGGAAAAATTTGAATGGTTTGTGGATTTTGTAACAGCAGTTGATTTTTTACAAATCGTAAGAAAATAATAATTTTTATTGAAAATTTATTTTTTTGTTAAAAAACAAAATTATTTTTTCATTATTTTAGTACTTTGCACTTTTACTGCTTACACTTGGTAGTCAACAAGAAGAAAATAATGAAAAAGTTGTTGTTGAAAAATATATTGATTTAGAATTAAAATTAGCTTCATGTTTACAAGATCATCATTTGGCTTCATTTAAACCTCGAATTCTTGCTTTGGCTCTTATAAGTTTAGAATTTGAAAAACAACAAGTACATCAATCAGAAATGAATATTGATTGGCTTCCTTCAATTACTTATTTACAACAATTAGCTAAAGTAAAAAACAATAAGAAAATAAAAAGGTAAATCTATTTATTTTTTATTTATTTTTAGGTTGAAAGTGATGCATTATTATCTTGCCGAGATTTAATCGTTCGTTTATTACCATCATACAAGGTTGTTCGATTAGAATTATCCGATTTAAGATTTATTTCTCATGCATATAATCCATTAAAACCATTGATTAATTTATCTGATCGACCAACCTATGCCGATGTTGTTTGTGGTCGCACTCTTCCTATTGTCCAATAAGTTTGTGTATTCTTTTTTTCTTTTTTTGAAAAATTATATCAGAGCATAAAGAACAAACACAAAAAAAAATGAAAAAAAGTCAAAAAGAAGAAAAAAAATGCTTTTTTCGGCTTCATTTATTTTTCTTTTGTTTTTTGCTTACTCTATAAATCATGTTGGTTGTCTGATACACAAATCTATTCTCCATACGATTAAAAAAGAAAAAAAGAAAATGCATTCCATATTAACAAAGTTAATGGATACAATAAAGGCTATCAATTGGAGAATGGATTTTATTTATTTTGTCCTATATATAAATATTAATATAAATATAAATATAAATATAAATATAAATATATATATATATATATTTTTTTTTTGTTTCATTTCATCATCCCATGTATTAAAACTACATATGTAAATAAAAAAAGATCTCATTATAAACATTAACTTCTATCTTTTGTTTCAAAAACTTTTCTTTTCTTTTCTTTTCTTTTTTTTTTGTAATATTTATCTATAGAACCTTTTTGCATATTCGTTTCTTTTTTTTCTCGAATTATTATAAGATCTTGTTTTGTATATAAGTTATAGAAAGAGACGAAGCAAAAAAAATATATATGTATATAGAAACATTAAAAAGAAATGAAGTCCTTGCTCTTTTGTTTATTGACTTGATTGATTAAAGAAAAATAATTTATTGAAAAAGTTTTTTTTTTTTTTTTTGTATCATTGATCGATGAAACAACAAGGTTATTTCGTGTTTATAAAGCAATAAAACAAATAAATGTACGTTAAGATAAAATATGAATATAGATTTTAGACAGAAGAAAAAAAGAAATTATGATCTATTGACAATTAAATATAAAATAAAAACGATTAATGAATTAAATAGAATAGATATTTTTTATCAATGATAATATTTTATTCAACAACACGAAAAAATCATGTTTTAACTTGAAAGACAATTTAATATACTTGAATATTCTAATTTTGTTTGCTTCGAAAGTATTTATTTAACATTAATTCTAGTTCAACGATATTTGAAAGAGAATTTATTGAATGTTTAGTAAATTAAATCTAGACGTTGTTTATCTGTGACGAATAAAAACAATATATTTCTTATTAGATTAATATTAGAATTGATACTTTAGATTTATCGCTTCTGATAATAGAATATTGTTATGAGTATTGTTGCGAAACGCTTTCATGATGAAAAGTTCTTTTTAAGATTACAGAATTTAGATTTTAATTAATTTTTGATAATAAATTTTGTTATTTTCTTTTCTTTTCTAAAATCGATTTATCCTTTGAAATCTATTTTTTTTTAATTTTATTTGTCATGAATGATATAAACTATCTGTTACATGAGAACCATCATATGTATGTATCTTCTGTTGTTGTTTTTTTTAATTATTTATCAGACAAGGTTTTGAAAGTAACATATGATATGTTCGAATATATTTTTATATTCGTAAAGAAGGATAAATGTCACAAGTTTGTTGGTCTTCACTTTTTGTTAACCTAAGTAGTGTCTTCTTTAAGTGATTTTAGCGCGAAAGTTGATTTTTTCATCCTTTTTTCTTATTGTGATGTCGAAGCAGAGAGTAAAGCTATCTGAAAATAGGAACGCACAGTTACCTGTTCGAACACTGTTATTCTTATTTCAAGCAAACGTTAAAGTTATTTGCGGAACAAAAATGATTAGATGTATTTATGATTTTATCTATCAATGGCTCATTCATATGATCGATGGAAGCAAAAATACAAAGACTGAAAACATTTCCTATCGAATAGAATATTGACCATTGACCATTGGCATGATTCTTACTATTTGTATTATTTCATCAATGATTGGAATATTCAACAAAGCTGTCGGTTTTTTTTATTGGAAGCCTATTTTGGAGACAAATTAATCTTTTCTTCTCATCATATTATTGTTGTTAAAAAAACTTGCCTATATGGTGGCAGCGAAACTCTGACATTGATGTCTTGATATAAGATTCTTGCATCTTTTCACTAATCTATAAAACAATGATCGAGAAACGTTTTCATTAACCAATATATGACTACAGGGGTGGCGGAACGTGCTGAAATGAGGTGAGGCTCAAAAATCGCTTTTTATATATTATCATGAGACAATATGAGCGAATTTTAGGTGATAATCCGCTTTAGACTATTTAAATTTTAACTGTCAGAAGATTAATACGCTAACTTATTTCGTCCTTGACTAAGAGAATTTCTAAATCTCTGTAGAAGGAGAAAAATTTCTAAAGAATTTCACACTATAGCGGTAAACCAAAAAACATGTCTTTTTTCATTTGATGATTCACCATAATTATCAAAAACTTCAGGTCGGTTTTCAGATTCATCATAATTTCCCAGTAAACTATTCGTATTAGACAAATTTAATGAATTCACAAGAGGAGTACTTTGAGCTATAAACGATTCTTCAAGAACTTCATCTCAAGAACTTGTTGAAAGATTAATTAAACCAGTTAAAGCAATTTCCTCTGTAGATACAGATGTTGTTGTACTTTTTTTTTTTGTTTTTAGTAAAATATTCCAAAATTGATCCAGCACATCGTTTTGACGTCATTACTGTTTATAATCTAAATTATTAATTTTATGACTACGATCAAAAAAAAGTACTATTTATCTGTTTGTTATTCATATAAATATGGAAGCACATTTTGCTTAGCAAAAAACAATATAATAATCTTCTAACGTAGCGGTTAAATCATAACGCCAAGGTATTCAAAAAATATGAAAGCTAGATATTCAGACAAGTATCCAAATAGGCTTCTTTCACAGTGTATTTTAGTTGATATATTCGTTGATATTTTAAAAAATTACTCTGCATGAATTTCACTGAATCCATTAAAGAGAATAAGAAGACACTCAAATATAGCTAGCTAAAGTTTAATGCCTTTTGATCGCATAATTCCACAATTCGTCTAGTATACATCACTTTATGTCAATGAGGTAAAAGATGTCCCTATCAACCATAAGAATATAGTTAGTGCGTTTATCATTATCTGAATTTCGTAATGTTCTTTATCACAACATACAAATAAGTGTATTAGGAGTTACAATATTCGCACTGAAATAATATTCATTTGATAAAATAAGTCTAAAACATCGTTCAAAAAACTATCGAACTCATAATTTCGGTGAGGCTGAGCCTCCAGACGCCAAATTCGGGTGAGGCTCATGCTTCACCCAGCCTCTAACTCCCGCCGCCTATGTATGACTATTCTCTGGTCTCTCCATTTTTTGGAGGAGCTTTTTAAGCCTCACCGTAAGTTATAATGTGTCCTATCAATCGTTAATTAGTCGTCAGGAATAAACATGATTGTGAACCAAGTTTGTGGTCTGTTGAGTACTACGAAATTAAAGAACGGAACGATCTACTTTGTGATCATAATAGGTGGTGAAAACTTATCAATGATGACAATGCATCAACAACAGAAATCAGTATGAGTATTGCTAAAATGTCAGTAGGAATCTCTCAGTCCGAGACTCGGTCATACGCACAATACAGAGGAAGTGTACAATACTCAATCAAGCATGATTTAGAAATCTATCTGTTTTCTAATCATACAAGTATTATTTTCGATATGGAATAAGAATAGTTCATCTTGACGATGTGGAAATAGACGGCAAGACAGGTACTGTTGCAGCTATTTTTTATCTTTATATACGATAAGTTTAGTGACGTCCACACTACTGCTTCCCTGAAGGAACGAAATTAAAAAGAGACAAATGTTTATTGTAAATGAATTCATTTCTAGAATGGATAAGCATGTAGAATGAGATTAAAAAGCATTGATCAAATATCCGTTTTCAAATATAAAGCAACTCATTAGTTATTAGATAACTCTTTAACAAAAACAGTCAACAATTAAACATTGAAAATATTCTAAAAAAACCTGTTGAAAGTTAGACGATTTTTATTGCATAAACTACAATTAAATATGAATGTTATGAGATGATTTATTCTTGAGTGAAAAGAGAACTTTGGAGAAATCTGAAATCAATCAAATCTTGTCCAGACACTAAAGATGTAATCAGCATAAGGCAAATAAGTAACATCTGAAAACATCAGACTTTCAAGCAATGAAGAAAAATGTAAAAATTGGTATATAGGAATCGTGTACAATAACAGAGAATAGATATATTTCATGATAACACAGAAATAATCTATACGAATTCGTTTAGTCTTTCACACATTGTGTGAATATCTTATTCATTAATCTTGAAGACTTCATTTTAGTTTTATGCTTCTCCAAAGTTTGTCTTATTGACAGAATTGAAGCAACTTCGTAGGTTTTTCTCAGAATTTTACCAACTCGATGTTAGACAGGCTCAGACTATTCTATCATGCAGGAAGAAAGCTCTTTCAATCTTTGTTAATTGTGTTGTACAGGAATTTCTATCAAAGTAATCATATAAAAGTTACGTCAAAAAGAAAAGTCCTTACTTGGTTTAGCTCGTGAATCAAAGAATTCAAATACAGATTACAATTTGTTTCTTTTAATCTGTAGTGTAAATGAAGCTGAGCTGCTTATGACTGTGCTGACAGCAACCTTCAACGATATAAAGAGCAAAGCATTCTATTGTGTAATTAGTGTGTTTATCTTATTCTTATCTTCTTCTACTCTCTTCTTTTCCACTGTGGCCTATAAAAAAAGGTAACACAATGATAACTTCAAAGCAAAAGTCATAAAAGCATCAAAATGCAAGCAGCTATTTACTCAAAGAATTCGATCAGTGGTGTTAGAATTGTCACTATTCCAAGTCCAACTTTGACATCAACACTGTATGATTCTACTTCCACTAGTGTCATGCGTTTTTGCCTCTTCCGTTTAATTGACTTTGTTTGCACTTGCATGAGCTATTTCATGTGCCTACTGCGTTGGTTACTTCCAGGTATGCCAAGTACGTACGGTGAGGTAGCTGCTCGTCAATGGGTATTATGTCGCGTGTATTTTGGCGGTGTCAATCCAGTCGATGCTAAGTTCCTTTACGGTGACAAACTACCGCACTTCTGTCTGTCCCTTGTGAAATGGTTTGTTGAAGGCCGAATCTGTGGTATAGACTTCAGTGGCGTGGTGATTGAAGCACCTCCAGGTTGTGGATATGCAGTTGGAGACGCCGTATTTGGAACAATTCCTCCGTTTTGCGGTTCATTTGCAGAATATGTACGAGCACCAACTGATTTTATTAGCCACAAACCGAATAACATGTCATTTGCCGAAGCCTGTGCACTTCCTTTAGTAGGTTTGACAGCCATGCAAGCTTTTGATGACAATGGTTTAACGGCTGGACAGCACGTTCTGGTTCTAGGTGCTTCGGGAGGAACTGGTCATATGGCCGTACAAATAGCTAAAATCAAGGGTGCAAGAGTAACTGCTGTGGCTGGCTCACGGAACATAAGTTTTATTAAAGATCTTGGCGCAGACGATGTTATCGCCTATGATGGATGTGAAGATGTCTTGGAAAGTTTACGTGCTGTTACATCGCGTACTGGTCCATTCAACTTGGTCTTTGACTCAGTATCTTCTCATGACCCGCGAGATGCGACTTTTGCTTATGAAAGTAGAATTCGTAACGTAACACCTAAATTGTTGTCTGGAATGTATATTTTTATTGGAGGCGTTGTAACTGATTGGGTGCTTGCGCACATAAAACGATTTTTTGGCGTCAATTGTTTCTCACCAGGCAGGCAGTTATTCTGGGTGAGATTTCCGGACAGTGCTAAAAGACTTAATTTACTTCGTCAATTTTGTGAGGCGAACCAAATCAAGGTTAGAATAGCCAACTGCATGCCATTTACAGAAGAAGGTGTTCAAGAAGCATTTCGCTTGCAAATGAACCGTCGTACAGTGGGTAAAATAGTCATTGAAATCGGTACTGAAAATCAATAAGCTATTTTCCTGTTCTATCAGATTAATTTGAAATTGTTAAAACCTTATAGATTTTGTAAGCATGTTGTATCGAGAGCGTGACTAAATAATATATTTGTCAATACAAAAATGAATGTTTCTCTGACAACATGTTATAATCTTCAAACGGCAATCTTCCCCGATTGTTTGCATTTCATATAAATGATTACTTATGATAAGCATTATTTTCAGTAGTTATTATGAAGCCACATGAATCCTTTCGAATTTGACATTGTATATGTTACATAATACAACTTAATATGTTCTATTCAAAGATAAAGGATCAACTGAAATACGTTCATATATTATTAAAAGTAATAAATAAAACAAATATCTTCTATCAATCACATTGGTAAATAAAAATAATATTTTCCTCTGTATTAGGTAAGTTATTTTTCTATATACTGTGTGCGATGCCAGGTCACACGTTAGACATTATTCAATCCATTTTCGACACTTTCATGGACCAGAAAGATATATGAATAAAAAACTTTATACACAAAGAGAATTATTTTTTTCGAGTACACTGTCTGAAAAGAGGCAACGGGTGGCGAGCCATTTTCAGAGATTGATTCATATTCGTCATTTTGTAGAGATTTCCACAAAAATGAAACTGAAGTATTTTTCATTGTTGCAACACATTGAAAAGCGCAGGAGAAACAAATAGTTATGTATTGTTTGATTACCATATAGTAGAACGAGCCAATGCTGAATGAAACAGACATACGATCATTTAGATAATTAATGTCTCATATGTGCACAAGGAGAATATCGAAACTTATGCCTAAGCATGTACCAAACCCGAAGGTTGAGTTTCAAGTTCACAATCAGCTTTCTAAAGGTCGCACGTTACGTTAGCTCTCTTGTAAAAGTATTTTCGTGTTAGGCGGATATGTTTATACTCTATAGATTTCCTTTCACTGTTTCTTCGGTTGAAATATCAATTGAAAATTCGACAAAAATTTTCTTAACCTGCTTGATTACATATCATACCAACCTGCAATAGATTGTAAAAAATTTTGCCAAAGATCTCGATAATGATTTTGTTGAAATTCGTCAATATCAAGTCGATGAAGCTTCTCAATCAAGTTAATAATGGTAGAAACCAATTTCTCTTGTTCTACTCATAACATCGGCGGGCCACCACAGTGGCAAGGTGTGGCAGTTGCCAAACCTAAAATTTTTCATTAGTTGTAATTTTTGAAGAACCTTTTATTGCAGCACAACAAATCTCATAGTCATTTTCAGAATGATGAACTTTATGATGTGATTTATAATGCTTATTCACATAGCTGAGAAAGAATAGAACAAGAGAATGTTCTTTTTTCAATAATAGTGAATGTCACAATTAAGCGGACTGATTATGCAGTATGTTTTTTTCTGTTCTGTTTATCTATCATTCTTGCTCTCTCTCACAGTATCATGGCATCACAGTAGTGACGACAGAAGCTTTTCGACATTGAGAAGAATCAAAACTTATCTTCGAATAACAACAGGAGAAGATTGTTTATCAGCACTTGCATTGCTAAACATTGAACGTGAATTTGAAATTGACTATGATGAAATTGTAAAAGAATTCGTGGCAGTAAGCCCTAATCNATATCGTCATTCGATTTGTTAGCGTATACTATGCTATAGGCGAAAATTCCAGTAAAATGGCTATAACTCTGAACGAAAGGCCTATGGGCCCTTATCTTTTTGGGGTTTTTCATATCTTACTGAGATCTACCTTATGCACAGAGTTCGAACTCAAAACCGATTAATCACTTCCGGTACCTCCCTCGTAAGCTACATTATTTTATAGCTCTTCTGTTGTTAAAACTAGCTTTTTGCTTTATTTTTGTAAGTTTCTCGGAGCAAGTGTTTATGAAGTCTTAATAAAAGATATGAATGATCTTAAGCAAATAAAAATGAGAGTTTCGAGAAGTATCAATAAAAACTGCTAAATATTGGTATTGGTGTAAAAAAGTCTATTTTTGTGTCGTAACCAAAAATGTTGTTATTTTCCACTTCCAAAGTTGGAGAACTTAGTTTTTAAAAATAAAAACTTTCTAACGCTTACTTTATCCCTTTAAAACAGACGAATGTTTCGGATTGACATTGATCAATAGTGGCATTATATGCATTTATACAATAACTGTCTTTTCAAAACATTCTGAACATTTGTTTGTTCAAAATAAATTTTGATTCCGTTCGGTTCGGTTCGGTTAGAACTTTTTCAAAAATTAGATCGGTTCGGTCCGGTTTGGTTTAGAAATATTTCGGTTCGATTCGGTTCGATTCGGTTCTGAAAAAATACGAACCAATCCCATCTCTGGTGTCTATTTATATTTACTTTTAATTTAATGTATTCGTAAATTAAATTATCAGTAATTTAAATTTAAAATAAATTAAAATCAAACAAAATTTAATTTGTTTTAAATTTAAATTATCTGCATTTTGTAATTAATATAATTAATAATTTATTCAAAATATTCTATTTCTTTATGATAATTCGTGTAGGAGATATATCCTATTTTTACTCTTATATTTATCTATAAATAATCTATTATATAATATTTTCATTCAAGCAACAAGTCGTGGTTTGCTGAAAGAATCTACTCTTCATCAAAATGAGGTTTGCAAAGAAAATATAAAACTAGTTTTATTCAATAGCAAGATAAAACATGTTTTAACCAAGCAATTCTGAGTTTATAACATTCTTCACGAATTAGTCACTTTTCAACCTTCTTCAAACGGATTGATGTGAAGTTAGTAAGATGAAAAGTTGTCACGAGAAATTAGGTAAGCTTGATATTCTTAACCTTTGAATTTACGAGGACAGAATTTCTGTGACGATGCTCGGCAGCAAGTTCCAAAGCACCGTCACTCGTATGCGATCTCTAAAATTCATTTGTGAACAATTTGGGATCGACCGATATTCGTCTTGGTAGCTTCGCGTGGTATAGAAATGAAAACATTAAACTTTGAAATGGAGTATAACTGATCTGATGATATTGTCTTTACGAAACCGTTGTTCAGAATGAGATTTTGTGCTGGAATAGACTATATAAACACGAATGAACGCCATTAAATCCGTTACAATGCAATTCAATTAATTTTCTTCATGAATGAATTTTATTGTTATTTTTTCTCTGTCGCTGTCGTGTATTTGGGAATGTGTGCGTGTTATGCATATGAACCATTATGGACGAGAATTTTCTAAACATTGCATTCATAAGCTCTTTCTCTCTTGATTTCGTGCTCTTTTTCTTCACAATGAGCACTATGTGTGCATAATCTGTATAGTTCGATTAAGAATGAAAGTTCTTTTATTATAACCGAATGATATGTTGGGAACATAATCAATTCACTAAAAACTAATTCATCAATGGTACAGTCAATTATCATTTATTATTAAGTGGTATATTAGTGATATTTAGAAATATTTGTTTAACTTCTAAAGTAATTGTAGATTCATTCGTAGTCATTTGTTTTAAAGACCACTAGCCATTCAAAGCACGAGAATTTCAGTATATAAATATGTTCATAACCTTCTCTAGATTCATATTGTTACGAAAATTCCCTCTTTTGCTCACTCGAGCGTGTACAATCATTGACATACCATTTTCGAAACAATATTAAAATGGTGTTCGCACATTTGGCCGTCTATTTGCTCGATAAATTTTTGGGAGACTATATTGAAAATTTAGATTCGAAACAACTGAAACTTGACTTATGGCAAGGTAAGTCTCATTATTAGCTAAAATCCATTGATAATCTTCGCTTTCAGGCGATGTTGTTCTCGAAAATTTGTCTCTGAAACCGAATGCACTAGTAAGTCTTCACGTATCAGATTAACATCAAAGTATTGATTCTCATGATAATAGGCCAATTTCAATATTCCTGTTACAGTTGCTGCTGGTCATCTTCGTATGTTATTGTCGAGTTTTGTTTGGTCTAAAAATTGAGTTAAATATTTAGAAAAATTATCACTTCACATTCCATGGAAACATTTGTATGCACAGCCAACCAAGGTTGTCATCGACGGTTTCTACTTGCTTCTCACACCGAAAATCGGTTTGTTGTCGTATTATGTCTGTTTTTTTTTCAGTATCGACTTAATTATTTTGTTTTTGTAAAGACATCGAATATGATCCTGAACGAGATGAACAAAAACAGTATGAAGAAAAAATGAAAGAAGTACACAAAGTTGAACAGTTTCGCAAAGAAAGAGAAGAATATGGTGAGATGAAGATATATTGCTGAAGCATAAGATCAATCCAAAGAATTAATCTCGTAAAAATGGTCGTTTTATTAAACACGAATGTTAATGCATGTTGAAGAATAGAGCGAGAAAGTTGAAGGTATCTACAGACTGTAACAGACATGTCGACAAGCTCTTTTCAATTTTGAATCAATTAAAAATCTCAAAGTTCTAAGAAACTATTTACCTCTCCTATAATGAAGTCTATTAGACCCTTTCATAGACATTTGTACATGATGCTCTCTTGATCTTGTAAAAGATCATAACGAATATAATAAGCGTCTTCATGTCCATGTATAGCGGCTCCATCATATTTCAAATTTCAATTCTGTAGGGATTGTGCTAAAAGCTTTTTCTCTAGTGTATTCGAACAATAAGCTTCTGAAATTATCCGAAACTTATACCATTAATGTTTCCGAATGTCTAAAAATAATTAGACTTTTCCACAACTTATCCTTATTTTGCGGAGTCACCATGCCGAGACGAAACTTAAGCAAAACTAACTTTTGAGACTGGGATAAAAAAATAATGATCTTGTTCATCTCAAAGATCTGCTCTTTTATTTTTCTCTTGTTGAATGAATTGAAATTTAAGAAAATTCCAAAACGGTGTCGAAGCACAAAGATACATTTTTGAAACAATTACAATTGCATATCCTTCGTAATCTAACATTGTCAATTAGCAATATTCATATTGCTTATGAAGATAAAACAACAAAGCCTGATCATCCATACTC